AACAAGAGAAGCTGCGAAGAAGAAATGTTGCAGAGGAAGAATTGAGGAAGAAGAAAGATGAATAGTAAATTAAAAGTGATTGAAATGAAAGGAAGTACAAAATAATTAATGAGATATGGGTCTTTTGATAAAAAATATTAAAATATTACTTTGTTTGTTCCAAAAATCACCATAGCCTCTCTTTCTTCATTTAATTCTTATTATTAAAATAATATTACAAAGAGAATTTTCAAAAGTCATCATTCGTTGTACTCCAACAAAATAATATATTAATAATTTAATATATTTATTTAATGTGAATATAATTGCATCGCTAATATCGATTATATATATATAATTTATATACGTATATATATTGTTGAATCAAATCGACTCCTTTTTGAATTTGATTCGATTAATTAATCGGTAAAAATATTTTATTTGAATTTGACCGTCAATGATATTCGAATAATCCTGATTCGACTCAATTACGTCGAATCTCGAATTCGAACTCGGATTTTTGAATATCGTTTACACCCCTAACCTAGATCTTGGAATATTCTTGTATAATGTGAATTATATTCATATGTAATTCTGTTAAAATTTGCAACTTTTTTTTTGGGTGGGGCGGGGGGTGGAGAGGGGGTTGCAAATGTGGACTTTTTCCCTCCTTGACATAGTTGGTCTTTTCTGCTCTCTTTCCTAATAACATCTTTTATATTTATTGAAAAAGCTTTGCTCTTACTATTACACTTGTTTTGTGCCTCTCATTGTTCAATTTTGAGGGATTAGTACTGACCTGAGAGGGGGGGGGGGTTGGATTTCTGTTTATACTATGGCTTTGAGTTTGTTAGTTGTTTGGGAAAATTCCTTGTCTGTGCCCCTTGTCCCTTCTTTCCTGCTTCATCTTTTTTCCCTTATAAGCAATCTGGTTTATAACAGAAAAAAAGGAAGAAAGAAAAAAGGTTTCTTGGACAGAAGAGGAGAGAAGAATGAGAAGAAGAGATGGGAGAAGCCAATCATCCCATTTAGCCACCCCACTCAATAGCTTATATACTCATTAAATAAAGGGAAGTGTAATGTCTAATGCGCCCTTAATAGGGTGGCTGCTGTTAATAACATAAAAAGCAAACATAGAACTGTTGGGCCTTGGGCCCAATAACACTAATTTAAAAATAAAACAAAAGCTACTAAAATCTCAACACTTACCATCATGTGAAAGAAAAAGTCATGGTGAACATGTATGATAGGAAAAAATTGCAAACCCAAAGTGCACAATTTTGGCCCTATTGAGGACCATGAGACTTGCATGACCACTACAAGACCAATTGGAATTAACCTTATATTTATTGTATAAGGGGCCATAACCCAATTTTGGTCCTGGCCATCTGAGGTCTCAGGAGGGGCGGATTTCAATTGGATACAGACCTAACCTTTGGCCATTTTCTTGCACATGGTGGCCACTCTCAGACTCAAACCCACTTTCTCATGCTTGTCAGCCTGAGTTGTTACCATATAAATGGCCCCTAACCCTATATTTCTTGGATGGGCAGTGATGAACAGTCTGTAGTCTATAAAGAGCATATAGTAGATGGTTAAAATCATTATATCAACCTGTTTTTCACCTAAGATGTAAGAGTCGATCCAAGTGGGAATCCACTCATTGGGCAGTTTACTTGGATTTACAATTACATTCACTACCACTGTAATATTAAGCAGTTAACTGTGATTATGGCTATTTTATGTTTCTGCATACCATCATACTCTCTCTCTCTCTCTCCAGCTCTTGTGTATTTACTTGCTTGTTTGTGATGCCCAAACCTCTGCACTAAGTTTGAAATCTGAACTCTACCTATCAAGAAATGAAGAATTATGTGTCTCCAATTCTTTGTAGGCAATGATTCATCAAAAAAAAAAAAATTTGTAGGCAATGTCTTGATTAGAAAAATTGCATTAATGGTTGAAGTGTAGGTAACAAAAAGATGCAAGTCCCAACACTTGTAATAAAAAGAATCTACACCTGACATTGATCTTATTTGAGTACCCTGTATAAAATATGCTAAAAATGTCATCCACTTGGTAACACTATACCTCAAAATAGATCACTTCTCATGACATTCTCTCTGGAGACGATCAGCTTAAGAGTTTGCCAAACCAGGAAACCAATGGAATAGTGTGTTCATTCTGGATACAAAAATCACACTTCTCTAATCTGGTAACCAGATCTCCATGATGCCCAACATGAAATGCCTATATGTTATATAAAAAGCTATTATTATTTAGGATACCTCCTTGTATGTTTCTGGCATGTTGAATAGTCGACAACTTGACACTCATGCCAAGATGTGATGAACATAGTTGGGCACATCCGGATTTTTTTTTTTGATGAATAATGAGTGAATTTATTAATAGATTAAAAGCACAAAAGATACACAGAAAATTCCCAAGATGAAGCACAAGATGCAGCCTAAGATTAAAGCAAAAATTACAGTTTAGCCCAAAACATCTGATTCCTATGCACCCCTTGTTTAGCTAATGAATCTGCTAACCCATTTGCTGATCTTCTTTCCCATTGGAATTGGACTGACATGTTTGTAGTTAGCCATTTGAATCTTCGTAAAGCTCCTTTATAGGACCAGGCTGCTGTTTCTGGTTCTTTTAACCACTGGATCACCAACTTGGAATCACCTTCAATTAACAACTGTTCACAGTTCAGTTCCTTGGCAAAATTAAACTCCTTGTAGCGCTGCTTGAATTTCTGCATTGACTGAGTCCCCTACTCATATAGGGCCAGAGTATAAAGCAATGATTAACCCCTCAGTATTTTTAAACACTCCCCCAACACCCGAAGGACCTGGATTGCCTAAACTGCTGCCGTCAAAGTTGAGCTTAATGATACCCTCTTGAGGAGGTATCCATTCTGCTAACGGTTTAGGTCTTGTACTAGAGCTTTTGGCAACCGCTTCCCAATTTCTCCATAAATCTCCAAAGGAGAATGAAGAAAATAGTTCCAGGGTCTTTACCCAATTAATGGCTCTATTAATTAAGCAATCCCATATAATGATCTCGTTCCTCTCCTTCTCATCAAAGATCCTGGCATTTCTTTCTTCCCAAACAGTCCAAACCAGTGCAGCCCTAGTACACCTCCACAAGACTTTACCTATTTTCTTAGGCCTCCTGAAGGTTGTAGGATCAAATAGATTGCTAACCTGCGTTGGCATTGTCCACCTGCATCCAAAGAGATTAAGAAGCTTTTCCCAGAGACCTACAACAAAGTGACAAGATATTAGTAAATGGTAACACCTTTCTCCACTTGCTTTGCAGAGGACACACCAGTTGGGGGAAATACTTAGACAAGGTCTTTGTAGGTTGTCCAAAGTGTTTAGTTTTTCAAGAGAGGCCTCCTACTTTAGGGGGAGCAGGTTTAGACTAGACCTCTTTACAGGAAAGGCTGAGAGCTAGGGACAGAGCAAAAGGAAGAGAAAAAGGAGGCGCAAGAGAAAGTGCCTGAAGGGTTAGGGGACCAAATACGAGCATCCGGTTTAGAAGGGTCCAAGAACCAAGCAAGCAAAGTAACTGTGTTGTCTGGTCAAGCTCAGAATCTCTTAAATCTCTCCTGAAACCCAAATCCCAACTGAAACTAGAAGATGAGAAAAATGAGCAAATCATTGAACAGGTTCACTTTTAAAGCGAGAGAGGGAATACAAAGGTGGAAAAAGATCCTTGAGGGTTGAATTTCCTATCCGTAAGTCCTCCCAAAAAAGAACCCTATCCCCAGTACATACACCATACCTGATTAAATTTAAGAATTGTGGAAGAACACCATAGATTGCCTTCCAAGGAGAGTTCAACGTGGCCCTCCGAGAAATGCCAGCATCCCAACCATTGCCTTCTGCTCCATGAATACTCTCTACAACTTTGTGCCAAAGTCTTTTCTCCTCCAAAGGTCATCTCCAAAGCCACTTACCCAAAAGGGCTAAATTTTTCTTCCCTAGGTTACCCAATCCCAGACCCCCTTACTCCCTTTTCTTGCATACTAATTCCCATCTTACCAAATGATCATTCCTTCCCTCTCCAGGCTCTCACAAAAAGTCCCTCATCAATTTCTCTACTTTCATTACCTCCCTTTGCGGCATCTAAATACTGAAAAGAAGTAAATTGGGAGATTCACTAAGGTGGATGTTTCTACTTATACTTTTGAAATGCAAAAAAAAGTTTGTCATACAAAGTTTGTATTGCAACTCGTTACATTTATTCTTTCATTAGAATTGGTAAAGCACAAAGTGCATGGGCACATAAGCATAAGTACTTATTTTATGTGTATATTTATGCATAAATGCGTTTTTCCATGTTTATTTAAATTGGGGGCTTTCCATGTGCTATGTTCCATCTCTATGTCAAAATACAGTACTCACATCCATGTCCACAGATCATTGGTAATAAGGAAGTCACAAAATGTTGGTGGTTAGATTTTACCATGTCAAAAGTCTATATTATTTTGTAAAATGCTGTTTGACATGCTATGCACCAAATAACGTTGTGGATCAACATTTTAATATGTAAAAAACTTCATTTTTTAATGACAACTTGTCCCCCCCCCTCCCCCCCCAAAAAAAAAGAATGGAAAAGAAAACCAAAAAGGCAATGTTCTAATTTTAATTTGGTATAAAAATGTTTTTTTTTTAATAGAACAGAAATGAGAACAACATTCAAGACCCCAAAACTACAATGGTTCAATGACAGCTTCTTAGTTCCCTTTTCTTCAGAAGAGAGCACCCTGGGTCATTGTACTTTATGAGCATGTACACAATCTTCGGCTTGTTAATCTTTTTGATATTTTCTGTGAATTTCTTTTGGGAATTTCCTTTTTACATGACATTCTTGCCTTATGTAATAAATTTCTATGAAGTAACCATCTTGCTTTATGAGCATTGCTTTATATCTTCTAATGTAAATCTTTTGATCAATTTACCTCAATAATACGACACAATGACGTTATTTATATTGGTCCTTGTGTGCAGATAAAGAGGGAGATAAAAATACTTCAGAATCTCTGTGGTGGCACAAACATTGTGAAGTTGCTTGATATTGTCAGAGATCAACACTCAAAGACTCCTAGCTTGATATTTGAATATGTGAACAGTACGGATTTTAAAATTTTGTACCCCACGCTGACAGATTATGACATTCGCTACTATATATACGAACTCCTTAAGGTTTCTTTCTTGTCCAATTTATTATCAATCAATCATATCATATTAATTCCCCCCCTTATGAGGCTTCTTTTTTGAAAAGGCAGATCTGACTTTGTCTTGTTATTTCTCTGCTGGGATATTCATGGCTTCCTGATACTGGTAAAAATATTTGTGATTTCCAGCATGAGTGAAGTCTGCAGGACTTTTAAGGTTTTGTTTGGCCCAACTTCGGAAGTTCCAAATGCATGGTGCATGTGAATCTGTGGTTATTGTTTATGCTGGATTAAATTTAAGTTTCTTCTTTAAACTGTAAGAAAAGAGAAACCTTGTTGTGAACTCTTCCTGAGAGCAAAATTATTATCTGAATAGGACTCTGTAAGAGCAATAGGTACATACAATTAGTAGTCTTCTATTCTGCATTAGCTATTTAGCTAATTATAGTTTTTGGCCTCACACCTAACTGGATTACTGTTACTGGTACCCAAAACAATCATAATGCGATGATTGGTATTTATTATTTTTTTATTTTTATGATCATTAATATTCATGTGATCTAAAAATGTAGAATCCAGTCTTTGATATTTGCCCACCATTATTATAACCATTGCTACCATGAGCAAAGTTTAGCTATATAGCTTGGAGCTTAATTCAAGAAGGTAGGCCAGTAGTTTTTAGGATGTAGAGGTAGATGTCTGTTTGGCAGATTCTCATTAAATAGCTTTTAACAAAAATATATGCATCTGTACTGTTATATTGCATAGATACACATGCATCTATACTATAATATTAAGTAGGGTGAAGTTTCTACTCCTTGGGTGAAGCCCAACATGCATTTGCCACTTTTTACCCATATATGACCCCTTCTCAGAAAGTTGAAAATATCAAGACAAGGGCAGGTATGTAATTGCAAAAAACCTAGAATGGTTGGTGGGAACAATCACAAACAATCTCTCCCAATATAATTTGTTCCATGTTTCTCACATCTATTCCATCTCTTTCACGTGCAGTATAGCACATGGCCCCCTCAGGTGGTGACTAAAGAAACTTCAACTCCCCTCCCTACGAAAACATTCATTAGGGGCCTCTTGATCTCCACTGCAAGTTGGGTTCATTAAACTGAACTTTGATGGATGTGGTTTTGGAAATTTGAGACTCTCCCAATATAGGAATGTTTAGAAATGTTGGTGGACACATTATGGCATTGTTCTCAGAGCCAATTGGCCAAGGTGACTCAGCAGGATCCAAACTGGTGACTGTGTTGCAAGGTCTCAAGTTAGCTAAATCTCTCAGTTATCAAAATCTGGAGGTGGAACGAGATTCTAAAACTGTTGTAGAGTGCCTAAGGAAAAACAATACAGGATCATAGGTTTATACAAGCATCATGAGGGATATAAGACTATTGACAGAGGAGCTTTACAAGTGGACCCAAGGTCACAATCTTATTGGCTAGCAAAGTGCAAAATAAGGAGTCACTAGGAGTATGGGGTTTGGTCTCTTAGGGGGATCTATCTATATGAAAAAAAGATGGGTGATTGACTAATGGGACTAGACAAATTAGAGTGTTCAGGCAGATCACTTTGTATACACCATTTTCTTAACATTTTAATGAAGCCTTTACAGTTCCTGAAAAAAAAAATAATAAAAAAGAACAGCTATTAGGGGCTACTCTGCTCAGTGTCCAAGGCAGTATTAGTGTTCATTGTAGTCGGGCTTTTTTACTGTTTTATGCCCTATAAGCTTGTATCTTTGTTCTGTCCTTTTACAAGGTATAAAGTGTGCAGAGAGGTGTGGTACATAGCACACATGCTGTATTAGTATATTGTACATGGAAGGGACAAACTACCTTTATGTTGAGTAGACTGTACATGGAGGGCACAGAAATCCCTTAGATGTTATGTTACCTGGACATTTTAAAATGCATTCCTTGTTGGTAACTTGGTATTGAGTACTTAAAAATTTTGGTGCAAATTCTCTCTGACACTGTCCATGTTAATACATAATGTAATTTGAAGGGTAACTTGGAGAAGAATGAGAAAAGCATGTTAGATATGGATCTTGACAAGAAGAGTCACAACTCTAGCATCTGAGTATCTACATGCGTAAGCCAAGGTTCAAAATTTCACAATATATAGGCCCGTGGCTGATATGTATCGTTTTGTCTGAGTTCCAATACGTGGAACACTTCAAAAAAGTATGTTTCATACCTTTTTTGTGCATTTCCATAGTTTATCAGGCTATATCAGCCTGATATCAGGTTGTTTTGGGTCCATATTGGTCGATACTGGCCACCACAATCTGCTTTTAATATTACTTCCTCTCTCTAATATTACTTCCATGCTCTCATTAATAAACCCCCTATAATTACTTCCTCTCTCTCTCTAATAACTCCCACATTTATGATAACTTTTCAAATTTAAGTTTATCTCATTCCTAAAGTCCTAGTCTTTCTCATTAATTCTTAAACAAACCTTGTAATTACTCTTCTCTCTCTTAATTACTCCTATATTAAAGACAACTTTTCAAAGCCAAATTTGTCTAACTTTTAATTAATTCCTATATTTAAGGCAACATTTAAATTCAAAATAATTTTCATAACCATCAATTGCTATGGCCTATAATTTTTGGTATAAAAATCACAAGGAGGTAGGAAAGTTTGAACCTTGGTCATTGTTTTATAATGGCCATAAGTCCACCTTTGTGCCATATTCCAATTCTTGTCCTAAATCCTAATCATGTGCATTTTTGTTCTTAATTAAACTTCCTCTTCTTGGTGGATGTTTGTCAATAAATGGTAAAGTTAATTATTAAAATTTATATACTAATAAATATTAACACATTTTTTTTTGAAAATTAAGGTATATGCATATACATTTTAGTCTTTCCATCATTTTTTGATGGTTACTAATTATGCCTTGATAGCTCACTTCATATAAACCATTAAAGTATGTTTTACATAATAATTTATAGTCATATAAAACTTATGTTCGTTGTTATTAATATATTTTTTTAGAATTTATTTGAGTTTCCTTGCGTATCTTTATTTTTTGTCCATATCCATGCATATCCAAAGTGTACACCAACATGTCTCTTAAAATTGCCTTACTGATACACCTTTGTGTTTCTGATTCTTTGAACCTTAATGTAAGTATAGAAAGTCTTGTGCTAGCCTGCTTATGTAATGCTGAGAGGAGGCATAGGTATATGTATATGCATGTCTGTATGTATAATAACCTCCTATTTACTGTGGCATGTCAAGGTAACACTAGAGGATTTTTATGAACTTGGATGTTCTTTCATTTTGCATCTAGAAGAAGAATATCTTCCTATGTTTCTAAAGGCATTCCTGGATTTTTATGTTCTTTGTTCCTTGTTTTATTTTTAGTTGTATTGAAGCTATAATACTAAGACATTAGGAATTTAAATATATTCTTGGTATGCTAATTTCCATTTTGGATTTGATGGATGTGTACATCTCTATTGGAGCACTTATGCTTTGCATTTCTAGCTTAGGTTATCTTGATTCATTTTAGGTTCTTAAATTCATGACCATGCCCTTGTCAAAGGTTTAATGGATTTAGTTTGTGTTTATCAAGTTGAACTTTTTTTTTTTTTTTTTTTAATTTTAATTGCAGGCATTAGATTACTGCCATTCTCAAGGAATTATGCATAGGGATGTCAAGCCTCACAATGTTATGATAGACCATGAGCTGCGGAAACTTCGCCTGATAGATTGGGGTCTTGCTGAGTTCTACCATCCGGGAAAGGAATACAATGTCCGTGTAGCCTCAAGGTATGAAGCTGATGGTATTGTTTGCCTTTGCATCTTAATACGGTTGTTATGTATCTCTTTGTTATATATCATTGTCACATGCAAAGGTTTAACCCTGTAGTCATTAATCCATTCTGATGTCAAAAGGGAAAGGATTCATTGAAAACTTCCAGGTGTTTGTGTATTTGATTTATGTATGGAGGGGTTTTTTTTCCCGCTTCTAGGCCAAAAAAGATTCAGGTTGGCAAGCTGACTCGGAAAACCCTAGATCTGGATTTTCTCTTGATTGTAAGGAGAAATTTCATTAATTAGAAAAAAAACTATTTCATCAAGGTGCGGAGTTTTCACCAGGACAACCATACATCAAGCTATTGATAAAAAAAAGAAACATCATAAAAAAAGAGAAAGTGCCATAATATTCTAAATTCTCCTACAAATTATTATTTTTTATAATTGAAAATGATTTCATTAAACAATATGAATAAGATTTTACAAGAATCCCTTGGAGAGGCACGAGATGCAGCCTCCCCTAACCGTTACAAAAGATCAGAAAAAAATACAATGCTGCCCAGAATAAATGGTCCCTGGTAGCCCCCTGTTTAGCAAGATGATCAGCCAAAGCATTTGCCTCCCTACCCACCCACTGATATCTACATGTTATGTGCCTTGTTAAACATTTAACTTTTTAGATGAGATCCCTATAACTCCAAACAACCAAATCTGGGTTTGACAGCCAGCGCACAATCACCTTAGAATCCCCTTTCAATCAATAGGTTCTCCATTCCTAGTTGATTAGCAATCTGAATTCCCTGTATTGCAGCCGATATCTTAGCTCTTGTAGAGTCCCCTATGAAAGCTGAAATGTTGCAGTCGAAGTAGTAGAAGAGAGAAGGAAACCAAGAGGTGCTGAGAATGTCGAACTGAATAACCCAGTCGACAGTACTATTATTTATATTAGATTATAGTACAATGTTACAGGAAATGTCTGGAATGCCCCTGATTAGTGATGGGACACCCAGACTACTTAAAACAACAAATAAACTTAGGCCCATTAACACAGGCCTAGTACATAACAACTTAAACACAAATACAGACTAATAAGAACACTTATCAGCCGAACCATCAATACATAAAACCCCTCAACCTAACACTCCCCCTCAAGCTAAGCATGGATGTCAATCATGTTTAGCTTGCCAAGAAGGTCCATGAATTTTGCTGCAGCCAACCCTTTAGTCAGTACATCTGCAATTTGCATCTCAGATGGAGTATAAGGAATGCAGAGTTCTCYCGAGACTATTCTCTCCCTAACAAAATGTCGATCAATCTCAATATGTTTTGTCCTGTCATGTTGCATAGGGTTATTTGCAATGTTGATGGCCGCCTTGTTGTCACAATACAGTCTGAGAGGACCCTCAACTTTAATGCCAAGCTCATTTAGAAGAGTCCTGAGCCATAGGAGTTCAGCAACCCCGTGAGCCATAGCTCAATATTCAGCTTCCGCACTTGATCTAGCAACAACATTCTGCTTCTTACTGTGCCATGTAACCAGGTTTCCTCCCATAAATGTATAATAACCTGAAGTTTTTTCTGAATAGAATTCCCTTTCCTGGGCAAGTCTTCAAGTACCTGAGAATCCTTTCAACTGCTTTCATATGAAGGATCTATGGAGAGTTCATGAATTGACTGACAACATGCACCGCATAAGCAATATCTGGTCGAGTGAGAGATAAATATATCAGCTTCCCTACCAATTTTTGGTATCTCTCTCTATCACAATAGTCCTCCCCTACTGAT